CCGAGTCCCCCGCCCTACCCCCCCCTCCTCCCTCCCAGCCACGCGGAAAGGGCTGCCCGAGCGCTACCGGCTTCACGGTTTGCCGGGCATGCCTCTGGACCCTGCGCCCCCGGACCCTGGGAGGGGAAGTGCCCGGCAGGGGGTGCAGGGTCCAAAGGCATGGGGGTCACCTAAAGCCGGTAGCGCTCGGGCAGCTCGGCGCTTACAGAGCACAGGAGTCAGGGAGCACAGCAGCTCTCTGCGCCTGCTCTAAGGTAAGCCAGGGAGTATTTTTCCCGGACATGTTCGGCTTTTTGGAAATTGCCCCCGGACGAGGGTTTAATTACCAAAAAGCCGGACATGTCCGGGGAAAAAGCGGACGTATGGTAACCCTATGTATCTATTGGAGAGGTTTTTCTTCTAATTAATTAACTTGGAGTTTGTGCTCTGCCCTGGTGATATATTAGTGGATCTCAAGCACAATGTCGTCCACCCCATTTAAACAGACTCACAGCAAGTTACTTATTTCATGTTAAAAACTTGTTTTATGCTCTCCAGTGCCTGATCTTCAGTTATCGTGCCCCAGTCCTCTGGGAGATCAGCTGGTTTAGCGTTATACTGTTCAGCAAACTCCTGATTGAACTTCTGAAAAACAAACTTCCAGTAATTGGAAGCTTCTCTGCTGGGATCTGGCTGAATGTGCCAGTCTGGGTAATAGTCACGATACTCTTTGTAGGGATGAGCATTCCATTCCGTGTCTGAATTTTGGAATGTACCATTGCCAACTACAGCAGAGGAGCATATATCATAGACAAGCTTTTCATTACACACTTTCCTGTATTGCCCTAATCCTTGAGGGCGATGCACTGATGCAAAGTGCTCTTTGTGACTAGGGGCTCCTGCCTCACAGGGGACCTTACAGAACGGACACTGCTTTCCACAGCCAAACACTCGCTTGAAGATTTCAGCCTCAGGCTTCACTGACAGTTTAGAGAGTTTTGTCTCAATTTCTGTACTTTTCAGTTCAGCTAAGACTTGTTGTTCCAGAGCAGGAAGAAAAGTTGGTATAAAATCAGAAAACTGTTTAGCATTTGCTGTATTTATAAACCCTATCCCCACTAAATTATCCCTGGAAATGACTAGGTCCTTCTGCAGCTCTTTGCAAACAGAATCTAAAAAGTCAGAGACTGTATTGTTCTCTGTAACACTGGTACATTCAAGAGCCTCCCTGACTTTTTTTATCACTGGGGACAGAATCTTTCCCTCTGTCTCCCCCAAGTTTGCCATCTTGCTGTAGCGCTCCAAAAGCTGTGTCCTTATCCAGGTTTTGACAAAATCTTCATATTCACTGATGTATTTCACATACGTTTCAAAGTTGTTCTTCAACAGATTCTTCAGTAGCTCAAACTGAAAAAAGCTCCGGTTGCTGTATGTAATGGATTGCTCACTGCTGAGAATGTCATCCACTATTTGCACTCCAAGAGCCTTGTACACATATTCTACCAGGGCAGGTTTGAGACACTGATCACAGAAATCCCCGGCCATGGTTTGGCTTTCATCCTTTTCCAAGTAAAGAGCTTTAAATGTCTTCAAATACTGAGGTTTCAGCTTCTCCAGTCGTTGCTGAGGATCATTTTCTTTGATGAAATCTTCATGCATCTTTTGAAATGCAGGAGCTGCTTCCCCCAAAATGTGATGCTTCAGGGCAACTTCAAACAAAGGAGAAGTGTGAAGTTTCTCAATATCCTCTTCTTTTAACCTCTCATTAACCATATGCAGCAGTTCTCCACAATAGGTTTCATCATAGTCTGTTTTGGATTTAACTTTTTCTTCAATGTATTTTTTGCATTCCTTCATTAAAGATAGAGCAAGCTCTTCAGTTTTACAGTAACATTGCTGTGAGAAGTATTCTACAACTGCTCTGGCCCATTTTAGGTCTAAATATTTCTTTTTCATTGTGAAAGATTCCATTCTATAACACTGCAGGCTTTTTGCATGTTGTAGCATCTGATTGACAGCACTCCCTCTGTGCTCCAGATCCTTTCTCAGCTGGAGATCCATATCTTGAACAATTTGACGTTTCTGTAAACTACTGAGCTTTAACTCTGACAAGGTTTTTCGCCACATTGTTTCAAATTCTATTTTCAGTTTCTCATTATCTAGTTTATGTTTTCTGTTCCGGCATTCAGCCAAGAGTCTGTCAACTTTCCCTTCAATTGTTTGTCTGTACCCAGACTGGATAGTGTCTATCTTGTGCTGTCCTCTTTGGATTCGAATTGCTTCCTCACATTTACTGATTGAATAACTTTCAAGTTCTCTTTTGAGGCTATTTGCGCTCCTTTTGAAATCTTCTCTGTACTTTTCTATCAGGTTCAAATTTGCAGCTTCACCTTTAAAATACTGTTCTACATTATCCAAGAGCTTCTGTTCTTCCTGCTGTAGTTTCCCTTGTGCTTCAATTTTTAAGCTGTGTAAGAGATCTCCCTCTAGTTTCTCTGGCAGCTGATTCTGGATGAAAGTTTCTTTTTCGGATATCCAGAGATACATCTCCTTGCGGAAATCCCACTCCCATTCAGAATACTTCATAGAAAGCAGGTTATAGGCTTCAGCTACAAGGCTGTTTCTAAAGCTAAAGATGAAGTTTTCATGTTTCACTGAGTTCCACAGGCTCCTCACCCATTCAATAAAATCAGGAATATCCTTTACAGCTCTTTCCCGTGAACGGTTCTCTATGAATTCAAGCAGGTATTTCTTTAGCTCACACACACTCTCACTGTATCCAGTGTTTACTGGAGCCATGGGAGGGACTCCATGCCACAGGCCAGGGATGTACCAATTGTGTTTTTCTGGGTCATACTCCATAATATCAGAAAATGCCATTTCCCTGCTTTGTTTTTCCATCCTTGCTGCAGCTTTGGTCATTTCATTCAGCTGCTCCAGGAGGTGTTTCCTGTCCCTCATGTTTTGATCATGAGCAGACACATCACTGACGTTCTGATGCACAAACTGGCAGTTTGGCTTTTGTCCTATTTCCTCCATTCTGAGAAAGGCATGGACCACAATTTGCAGAATATCCTTCATTTCTGTGGCATTCTCCATGGCCATGTTAACGATCGTTATGTCACTCAATCCAATCACCAGAGTGGCCAGCTCATTGTCATGTTGATAACTGTCTTCCAGTGCCGTTAGTTCAGGGGCCTTCAGACCTTCAGTGTCTATCACCAGGATGAAATCACAGCCACTTAGCTTCTGAACAGCTTCTGTAACTTTAATGAGTGTCATGAAGGCTCCTCGCGTACATCGGCCACTGCTCACTGCAAACTGCAGGCCAAACATGGTGTTGAGGAGGGTGGATTTCCCAGTGCTCTGCACTCCCAGCACCGTTAGAACCACCATTCTGGATCCTTGCCCTAGTCTGGTATTGACATGAGTCAGAACATCGGTTACCCAGTTCATGGGGATGTTGGAGGCATCTCCATCAATCAGCTCCATAGGAAACCCTTCCAGCATCAAGTCAGCTGCTATGGCTGGGAGATGGATGAATTGTCTTTGGCTTTCTGCCATTTTACCTTCTTTAACCATTGAGCATTCAGCCTCATAGAACTGCCCCAACTCACGCATGAAATGCTCCACCCCCAGGGAACTGTCAGATATTAATTTATCTAGTTTTTCCAGCTGTTTTCGGTCCACTCCTGGAGTTTCACATTTCTTTTTATACTCCGCCCGCATTTTAGAAAGATTCTCCCTAGCAGTGTTATCCAGGCTGAATTTAATCCATTTCAGGAAGTAATGTTTCTCCACTGGATTTAACTGCCGTACTCCATTAATAAACTTAACCAAGCCATTAGTAAGGTCACACTGATTCTGCTGTCTGCGTATTTCTAACCATTCCTTTTTCAGCTGCGATGTATAGTCTTCAGTAGCCATGTCCCCTTGACTTTTCATTCGGCACATCTCTTTTTCCACTTTAGCCAATTTTTTCCATGGATCCCCTTGGAGTCTGAGCATTTCCCTTTTGTATTTTGCCATATCTTCTATTTCTGCAGTTATTTCTTCAGCACATTTCTTCGCATGCTGACATGCCTGACAGTCCTCATCCACCTGGATTCCTAGGTCACGTGCCATCACAGCCATGGCTTCCAAACTCACTGTCTTGGGAGATGAGTTCACTATGCTTCCAATAGTGGACTGCACCTTTTTCACAAATCCTGCATTATTGGTGGTGCTTTCTTTCACCAGTAATTGTGATTTGCTCAACTTCAGCACAGGGGCCAGCTTGTTAAGAAATCCCAGAGTTTCTGGGGGGGGTTTCTTCTTGCAGTTGAGGATGAAGTAATATTTAGCTGTTGATTCTTTCAGAGATGATAACAATGTGTATTGTTTCTCACTTATGCTCTCAGTAAATATGAGGACTGCTGAAGATACTTTTGCTAAAAAGCTAAACTGCAGCCACTGGAACTCAATGTCTCCACGAAGATTTGTAACCGCAATGGGTTCTGGGGAAAGATCTGAATTCTCCTTCCCACCAGGGAAATACCAGGAAATCTCGACCAGCCCATCTGCGATTTCCCGAGGGACGTTCCCAGACTCCATGTCGTGATGGATAAAGAAATCGTGATGCTGCTGGGAGGGGCTGAGAACCTCATTGAGGAGTCTGGACTTGGAGAAGCTGCAGCTCCCCATCCGCACAAAGGAAATGGTTGGCATTGCAGTGAGCACCAGGCTCTCCTCTCTGAACCCTCTGCTCTCTGCCAGGGAGTGCGGCCTCCACTTCCTCACAATGTCCCTCATGGCCCACAGCATTAGGGTGCACTTGGGGGTGTCGAGGGCAGGGAGCAGCAGAGGGAGGGCAAACTGGCATATGGACATTTTGGACAGGATCTCCTGCTGTAGGAAACTGTCTAAGCAAAGCAGAACAGCACAGAGAACATCAAGGGGGTGCAGAGAAACTTTCACCTCAGCATCACTGTCACAGAAATTGCCGTCAATAAGCAGCTCCTCCTCATCATCACCCATTTCTTCTTCAGGTGCCTTGTGCCCAATGCTTGTATTTCTGGCCGTCCCATTCAGGGCCATGACCTTCCTCAGGAAATGCCACGGTAAATCACCTACTGCCTCTGGAATCCTGTTCTTGATGCTTTCTGGGCAGATTTCCAATACATCCCTCAACCTGATCTTCCTGCTTCTGTGCTTCTCCAGGTTTAATCTGGACAGAATATCTTGAAATGCTTTACTTCTTTCTGCAGATGGAAGTGAAAACAAATTAAATTTTTAGAGTAGAAAATAGTGATATTATATACAGTTTACATAACTCCCCCAACATCTAAAGAATTAGTAAAAGGAATTGTAATTGTTTTAAAAAAGCTGTGTGACTGATGCATTATGTAACCTGAGCTCAATTCTTCTCTTACTTAACAACAGTAAAGTATCAGAGGGGTAGCCGTGTTAGTCTGGAGCTGTAAAAAGCAAAGTTCTGGAAATTTCCACTACATGCATCTGATGAAGTGAGTATTCACCCACAAAAGCTTATGCTCCAATATGTCTGTTAGTCTATAAGGTGCCTCGGAACTTTTTGCCACTTTTTGTTGTTGCTGTACCAATAAAAACCAATGGGATTACTTCTGTGCAAATGGAGCATAGTTCTGACCTATTTTGAACTCCACTAAAGCTAGGCTGGTTCACATTCTTTGGGCCCAATCCTTAACCTCAGAGCAGTGCAAAGTCTGGTATAAACTGTTCAGGAAGGACAGGTACGGGAGGAAAGGTGGGGGAGTTGCACTGTATATAACAGAGCAGTATGATTGCTCAGAGCTCCAGTTTGAAACTGGAGAAAAGCCTGTTGAGCGTCTTTGGGTTAAGTTTAGAGGCAAGAGCAACAAGGGTGATGTTGCGGTGGGCGTATGCTATAGACCACCAGATCAGAAGAATGTGGAAGATGAGGCTTTCTTCGGACAACTAACTGAAGATTCCAGATCACAGGCCCTGATACTAATGGGGAACATCAATCACCCTGACATCTGCTCGGAGAGCAATACAGCAGTGCACGGACAATCCAGGAAGTTTTTGGAGAGTGTTGGTGTCAGGGTTCCCTCCCCACTCTGAACTCTGGGGTACAGATGTGGGGACCCGCATGAAAGACCCCCTAAGCTTATATTTCACCAGCTTAGGTTAAAAACTTTGCCAAGGCACAAATTCCTTTCCTTGTCCTTGGATGGTATTGCTGCCAACACCAAGTGATTTAAACAAACGTTCAGGGAGGGTCCAGTTGGAGCCCTATACCCCACAAAATATCCCCCTTCACCCACTTTCCTGGGGAGGCTTGAAAATAATATACTAACCAATTGGTTACAAAGTGAGCACAGATTAAACCCCTGGGTCTTTAGGACACTGAAAATTAATCAGGTTCTTAAAAGAATAATTTATTTTTTTTAAAGTAAAAGAATCCCACCTGCAAAATCAGGATGGAAGGTAACTTTACAGGGAAAATAAAAAGATTTAAAACACAGAGGATTCCCCTCTGACTCTGCTTCCCAGTTACAAAACAGGAATAAAATTACCTCTTAGCATAGGGAAAATTCACAAGCTAAAACAAAAGATAATCTAACGCATTTCCTTGCTATTACTTACATCTAAAATGACAGAACTTTTTTCATTTCGGGATCTTTTTTAGGAGCTGGATTACCTGCTTGGTCTCTCTCTTTGTCCCTAGAGGGAACAAAACAAAGAGAGCACAAACAAAACCTTCCGCCCCCCAGATTTTAAAGTATCTTCTTTCCCCATTGGTCCTTCTGGTCCGGTGCCAACTAGGTTAATTGAACTGATTAACCCCTTACAGGTAAGTGATTCTATACCTCTGGCCAGGAGGGATTTTATGTTACTGCATACGTAAAGGTTGTTACCCTTCCCATTATATTTATGGCAGTTGGGGACAAGTTCCTAATACAAGTGCTGAGCAACTGACTAGGGGCTGTGCTCCTCTTGACCTGCTGCTTACAAACAGGGAAGAATTGGTAGGGGAAGTAGAAGTAGGTGTCAAACTGGGGAGCAGTGACCATGAGATGGTTGAATTCAGGATCCTCACAAAAGGAAGAAAGGAGAGTAGCAAAATACAGATCCTGGACTTCAGAAAAGCAGACTTAGACTCCCTTCAGGAATTGATGGGTGGGATCCCCTGGGAAGCTAATATGAGGCAGCAAGGAGTCCAGGAGAGCTGGCTCTATTTTAAGGAAGCCTTATTGAAGGCGCAGGAACAAACCTTACCAATGTGCAGAAAGAATAGCAAATATGGCAGATGACCAGCTTGGCTTAACAGTGAAATCTTCGGTGAGCTTAAACTCAAAAAGGAAGCTTACAAGAAGTGGAAATTTGGACAGATGACTAGGGAGGAGTATAAAAATATTTCTAGAGCATGCAGGGGTGTAATCAGGAAGGCCAAGACACAATCAGAGTTGCATTGAGTAAGGGATGTGAAGGGTAACAAGAAGGTATGTTAGCCACAAGAAGGAGGACAGGGAAAGTGTTGGACCCTTACTGAATGGGGGAGGCAACATAGTGACAGATGATGTGGAAAAAGCTGAAGTACTCAATGCTTTTTTCCCTTCGGTCTTCACAGACAAAGTCAGCTCCTGGACTGCTGCACTGGGCAGCACAGTATGAGGTGGAGGTGAGCAGCCCTCAGTGTTGAAAGAACAGGTTAAGGACTATTTAGAAAAGCTGGATGTGCACAAGTCCATGGGTCCAGAGCTGGTTGATGTGATTGCACAGCCATTGGCCATTATCTTTGAAAATTGGTGGCGATCGGGAGAGGTCCCGGACGATTGGAAAAGGCAAATATAGTGTCCATATTATAAAAAGGGAAGAAAGAGAACCGGGGAAACCACAGACCGGACAGCCTCACTTCAGTCCCTGACAAAATCATGGAGCAATTCCTCAAGAAATCCATTTTGAAGCACTTGGAGGAGAGGAAAGTGATCAGGAACAGTCAACATGTATTCACCAAGGGCAAGTCATGCCTGACCAACCTGATTGCCTTCTATGATGAGATGACTGGCTCTGTGGATATGGGGAAAGCAGGGAATGTGAGATATCTTGACTTTAGCAAAGTTTTGATACGGTCTCCCACCGTATTCTTGCCACAAGATTAAAAATTATGGATTGGATGAATGGACTATAAGATGGATAGAAAGCTGGCTAGATTGTCGGGCTCAATGGGTAGTGCTCAACGGCTCGATGTCTAGTTGGCAGCCAGTATCAAGCGGAGGGCCCCAGGGGTAGGTCCTGGGGCCGGTTTTGTTCAACATCTTAATCAATTTTCTGGATGATGGGATTAATTGCACCCTCAGCAAGTTCACAGGTGACACTAAGCTAGGGGGAGAGGTAGATCTACTGGAGGGTAGGGATAGGGTCCAGAGTGACCTACACAAATTGGAGGATTGGGCCAAAAGAAATCTGATGAGGTTCAACAAGGACAAGTGCAGAGTCTGCACTTAGTACGAAAGAATCCCATGCACCACCATAGGCTGGGGACTGACTGGCTAAGCAGCAATTCTGCAGAAAAAGACCTGGGGATTACAGTGGACGAGAAGCTGGATATGTGTCAGTAGTGTGCCCTTGTTGCCAAGAAGGCCAACAGCATATTGGGCTGCATTAGTAGGAGCATTGCCATCAGATTGAGGGAAGTGATTATTCCCCTCTGTTTTGCACTGGTGAGGTCACACCTGAAGTATTGCATCTAGTTTTGGTCCCCCCACTACTGAAGGGATGTGGACAAATTGGAGAGAGTCCAGCGGAGGGCAACCAAGATGATTAGGGGTCTGGGGCACATGACTTACAAGGAGAGGCTGAGGGAACTGGGATTATTTAGTCTGCAGAAGAGAAGAGTGAGTGGGATTTGATAGCAGCCTTCAACTACCTGAAGGAGGATTCAAAAGAGGATGGAGCTCGGCTGTTCTCAGTGGTGGCAGATGACACAAGGAGTAATGGTCTCAAGTTGCAGTGGGGAGGTCTAGATTGGATATTAGGAAACACTATTTCACTAGAAGGGTGATCCTGCTTTGAGCAGGGTGTTGGACTAGATGACCTCCTGAGGTCTCTTCCAACCCTTATATTCTATGATTCTATGATTCCACTTAAAACTGACTAAGTGGCCAACTGAGGATTTCCCTTAGGGGAATCTTCCAGCATAACCAGCTCTATGACATTCTAGCTTACCTTTCTCTGTGGTGATCCCAAGAGCTGGAATGACCCATTTGGCTGCTCTAAACTGCTGCTCAGGATCAGACTGGTGCCTGGCAATCTGAGGATCAGCTAGCTGCAAAGGTGGCCTACACCCCTCACCTTGAGCTGTGCTGGGCATCAATGGCTCATCCCGAGGATGCTTGGAATGTTTGGAATGCAGGCATGCACAGAACAGATCTGACACTTGAATGGACAGTATAAAAGGCAGTATGTCAGTAGGCAGCTGGCAGTCAGGTAGCTGAGACAGAGGTCTACAGAAGTGAAGAGAGAGAACTGACAGACAAGAAGTGGAAGCAGCAGCAACAGCAGTAGAGGGAGAACAGGTGAAACAGCACAGCAACATCAGCAGACAGAGTAAGCCTGTCAGTTATAGTTACAGTATAGTACACTTTAGTGTTAGTGTGTATGTGTATGCCTTGGTTAATAAAGATGCGTATGTGTGTGAGACTGTGAAAGAAATTTACCTATGTAAAATTAAAAAAACCTGTTATCAGCAACCTGTGAGGGACTGCCATCAGTCACAAAGCTCTGCCACTTAAGACCATTTCAAACTGTAAGACGCTATGATCTGGAGTACTCTAACTTGCAAGGGATTTGTATTTTTAGAACATCCTTAAGGGATTTGTGGTTTAGATTATTATTGCATTAGGGATTATTATTTGCACCAATTATTTTTCTTTTAGCCCTTAAGGATCCAGGTTGTTTTATATTGTTTGCTTTTAACCTGAGAGAACTGGGATTGTTTGTATGTTGTTTTAAGCCAAGGAAAAGGGGTTTGTTTCTGTATTATTTTCTTGGTATAAATACATTGTTTGTATTAAAAATACTGCTTGTGTTCATCATTTATCGGAAGGCTGTATCTGAGTCCTCCAATTACTTCCTTTGTGACCCTAAAGACCCATACCCAATGGAGGGAAAGGTGGGCTATTCTAGGAGCGCCACAAAACCTGTTTTTCGGGGTAACATATGGTGAGCCAGACAAGCGTAGTTAAGGAAAAAGGAC